AAATCTTTAAAAATCTTCTTCTCAAGAACAGCAAAGCCATGATTGGTCATATTTTTATGGAATCATCCTCAGATAGGGTAGATTCAAATTTGTTCAACTCATGACCCCCGGGGGTCGGGTGGGGCCACAATGGGCGATCAAAGTTTTACATAGGAATATATAGGAAAAATCTTTAAAAATCTTCTTCTCAAGAACGGCAAAGCCATGATTGGTCATATTTACATGGTACAGATGTGTGCCAAAAGTGAAGATAATTTTATTTTTTCTCTATATATTTGATTGAAAATCGCATATAGTTAAATTGCTGGCATATGATCAATTTTTGTCCAATCTCATTATTTATTTCAGTACTAAAACCAAAAAATGTGTAGTTATTTTTTTCTAAAAGATCATTACATATTTAGTTGTTAGAAAAAGATAGTTCATCATTTACATCAGTTCTAAAATTCAAGATCAATGTTGACTATATAATTCATTGTGCATATATGATTTAAATTTTCATGTTGCACTTAAATTACAACATTTTTTACATATCGATGCTGATCAGATAAAAACTATTGTTTTTATCAATTATAACAATTTCTTGGATTATCAAGAAAATTGTGGTAAAATCTGTCAAGAAACGTTGTCATTCCAGTGATTTTACAAAATGTTGTTTTCAATGAAATATATAGAGAAAAAAATAAAATTATTTTCACTTTTGGCACACATCTGTAGCATCCTCAGGTAGTGTAGATTCAAGTTTGTTCAAATCATGACCCCCGGGGGTCGGGTGGGGCCACAATGGGCGATCGAAGTTTTACATAGGAATATATAGGAAAAAGTCTTTAAAAATCTTCTTCTCAAGAACAGCAAAGCCATGATTGGTCATATTTACATGGAAGCATCCTCAGATAGTGTACATTCAAATTTGTTCAAATCATGACCCCGGGGATAGGGTGGGGCCACAATGGGCAATCAAAGTTTTACATAGGAATACATAGGTTAATTCTTTAAAAATCTTCTACTCAAGAACAGCAAAGCCATGATTGGTCATATTTATATGGAAGCATTCTTAAATAGTGTACATTCAAGTTTGTTCAAACATGACCCCTGGGGGTCTGGTGGGGCCACAATGGGTGATCAAAGTTTTACATAGGAATACATAGGTTAAATCTTTAAAAATCTTCTACTCAAGAACAGCAAAGCCATGATTGGTCATATTTAATTGGAAGCATCCTCAGATAATGTAGATTCAAATTTGTTCAATTCATGACCCCCCCCCCCGAACCACTTTTATATTTAAACTTTTCAACCTTTCAAGACTGAACTGATTTCTGCTTTTTCCTAGCCATAGTGCTCAGGTGAGCGATGTGGCCCCTGGGCCTCTTGTTGTATTCATATGAAGCAGAATTTGTCCAAAATCTTATACGTGAAAAGAAGAATACACTTCAACTCTACATTTAGATATATCGACGACGTATTGTCAATTAACAATGGTTATTTCCATTCTTATGTCGATACGATATATTCCGGTGAGCTTGAGATAAAAGATACCACAGAGTCTGACACATGTTTCATATTTGGATATTTTACTTGAAAAAGACGTTAATGGTAATCTAACAACCAAGCTTCATGATAAACGCGATGACTTTAACTTTTAGATTCTATCAGAATTACATTTGTGTTCATCGATGAAAATCTGCCTCTTTAAATTATCTTATATATGTAGCTTAACTACATTAAATTTTTCTATATATTTGTAGTTAACAGAATGTACTTTTCATGCATGCAAATATTGAAATTTGTGGGTTTTTTTTCTTTTTTCCTTCGTTTATATGGCAAGGCTAATGTCTGTGAAAAGCTATTGAAGATGTACAGAGCCAAGAGCTACATGCTCAAGAATAGTACGGCCTGATGGTTCTATGTCAGTTTACTGTTTAATGTTGTTGCTAAAGACGGCAAAGCTTTTTGAAAAAGCTATACTTGAATTATGTAGAAAATGAAGCATCCAATTTGAAGTCATTTTAAAAGTTATCTGAATACCTATATTCAATCTTATATTATTGTAAAGAAGACAAGAACATACAAATTACTGTAAATCTGGTTTCTTGGAGACTGTAAGCAATGTGGATGCATTTGCATGAGACAGGAAAAAAGTCCCACATTGTAGCTGATTTTCTTCATTTTCCATTGAAAATTGTAGCTGAAAGCACATTATTTTGTTGTGTTTACCGACAAAAATATGTCTTGGTCCACCTTATTCAACCTAGTCAGGGTAATTAAGCATCATTCAAGGAGTTCATTACTCATATTTGAGAAACTGTAGGCTTCTTTCATTTACTAGACCTTGACATTAAGTTGTACCTCCTAAGGGTTTGGGTGAAGCCAGAATATTGGGTGAAAATTTTACAAGGGAATAAACAGGAAAATCTTTTAAAAACAATCTTACATGTATGTAGAACAGCAGGGCCACGGAATTCTCTTGTTTTATGTATATACAGTGTACATATAAAGGGAGTTTTGACTCAGTAGTAACAGATATGTATTTTCTCAGAAATTTATAAACAAATAAATTAATAACATTCGGCGAACAGTATAGTTTTGAGCCTATATTCGATTAAGTCTGTGGTTAAAATACATTCTTGCGGAAGTTCATGTGCACGTTTAAGGACGCGCTAAGAATACACTACGGGGAAGCAAATAACTTACAACACACAATCATTATCTATTTAAAAATGAGCAAACTTAAGGAAATATCTTTATGTAAATCGAATGAATACACACTGAAAGGTAAAGTAAGATTTACTTTAAATCTTTGGCATTAATATTTATTCGTTTTGCGTTTGGTGCTTGTATTGCTTCTTCCTTCAATCTGTACAACAGAAACATAACACGGATTTGTACTTACCGATTTAAGACCAAAATTGACTAGAGTCATAACCTGGTACTAAAAAATACTATGGTAAACTATAGTTTAAAGGGGCCTAGACACAGATTTGAAGTTAATATTAAAAGTTTCTGTGCAATATCATGACTTATATGTTGCTATAGTATTTCACACGGAAATATAATAAAAAAAAAACTGTTTTATCTGGAAATCATTGAAACTAGGAATTTCGGGACGCGTTTGATTGACACATCCTTGCACTTTCACAAAATAAACTTTATCCTTAATACTTACGAAAAGTAGAAATTTTGTTTTGTATTAATGAAAAATATTAGAAATATATTCCAGAAAATTCAGAGTAGAAATGTGAGAAAGGAAAACCAACTCGCCAGTATTGTCAGTCCGTGCTCAGTGATGTGTGCAGAATTAAACAAATAGAACATACCCGGTGAAACGTAAACTTTTTTTCTTTCTTTGTAAACAGGACATAATAGGGTCTGTTATTGGTAATGTTTACAATAATTTCCAGATAAAATAAGTTTTTTTGTAATATTTCAGTTAGAAATGCTCTAGCAACATAAAAGTCATGATATTATTCAGAAAATTTGAGAAAATATTAACTTCAAATCTGTGTCTAGGCCCCTTTATATAAACCTCACTGGTATAAAACAGAGATTCTCCAGAAAAGTTCTAAAGTTTCATAGCAAATCAAAGTATTAAAGAATGAACCATAGCAAATTATAATTAACTTAAGAACCTATAGTTTAATATAGAGATAGAGTTTAATGTTAGGGAAGGTCAACATACATGTATACGATTGTTACCCCCTTTTTGCACTTGCATAGATTTTGTGTGTGTGTCTATCGGTAAGGAAAAAGACGGATGCCATTGCATACAGTTACACTAGAATTTGACAGTTGCTCTAGATCAATATTCTAATGCACACTATGTTTTTTTTTACCTACCTGCATAATGTAAAGATACAAAGGGGTTGAACTTGGAAATATGATGTCAAACTGATCGTTTCACTTAAAACGCTTTTAGTTTGATAATTTTTCTAACTGCATCTTGTCATGGTTTTACTACACGTTGTCCCTCAGTTCTAACCTAATTATATTTTTATTCAATCGATGAAAATTTGCATTTTTTCATCTCATAACTAAATAAATATTTTTCACAGATAACAGAAGAAGACATATATATGAGACACATAAATATGCTTTATGGGAAGTGACAGTTTCTGAAGTTGTTTGTTTATGAGATTTTGTACTTATAAATTACTTATCCTCCTTATAAAGACAATTACACTTCCTTATGATACCATGTAGACATTATTTTTCATTGCAACAATACATTTCCAAAATGATGCATGCATGTCAGAAAGCCAAAAAAATTCACATTGCGAATTTTGACTTTTTTTAAAAAATTTTAGTCCAAAAAAGCACTGGGCGATCTGATAATAGAATAAAGCACTTAAACATGGAATCCAATAGCATATTAAATTATATCAGTCAAAACATGCGGCATTGACATGATATCTCTTAACTAAGTCACGTCTCTATATGAGTGAAAAATTCTCGAATGGGACGTAAAACAGCATACAATCAATCAATCTTAACTAAGTCACCGTATACCACTAGGATAACAGAAATACTCAAATTTATACATAATCAATGGAAATCCTTCAAATGTTCAAACTAATTCAATCTTAACTATTAAATAAAATAAAGTATGCGTACTTAACTAACTCAAAATGTTAAAATATATTGCACTCGATATTGCAGTATTGCATTCTTACAGTTGCAAAGACAAGTCAAAAACAAGATGTTCAACCTGATCATGAAAATTAAATATGAAAACAATAAAGACACTTTCTTTTAGAGTAAACTTCTGCAAGAAAATCTAGGACGTACTACTTAATTTAGTTTGAGTCTTTTTAAAGTGGATTTTCTGCACACTTTAATTGTATAAAGATCGAGCTGTCGGCCTAGATTTCCACATAACGTTTTACAACATAGATACATGTAACTTCCTGTTTAGTCATTTTATTTCACTTTTCTTTATTGTTTTATTGATATATTCAAAGAAAAAACGGAGAAAGTACAACACTCAGATTTTGTTTTATTTGTTTTACAGATTAAGGAGTTTGAAAAAAGTGTATGGCGACCGACGACCGTAAGTAGTTTGACATTTACAGGGATACTTTGTTTATTTCTTGGTCTTTCTGTCTAAGTTGACATAAATTTTCTTGTCTTTAAAGTGCCAGAAGGAAAACCATATGTATCTAAAAGGAAACTCAAGCTAAAACACATAATATATCAAAGTGTGGATTTTTTTGGTTATGAAAGTTTGCTTTAGATCTGTAGAAAGTAAAAAATACTGAGCACATTAAAACAGGAAAAGCTGATCATGTATCGACGAAACCTGTATCCGTTTGGAAATATACTTTTAATACTGTTATATCATTTCAAAATCATCCATAGGACACAGTTCACTGTTGTTTGCAAAGGCTCTTTTGGTATTTTTTTTCCAAACGTGACTGTGACTATAACATTATATTTAGTTGGGGGTGGGAAGTATCTCACATTTAAAATTGGCTTACAAGCTTGAGTGATAGAATAAAATAAATTAACATTTGCAGTCAATTTCACAATGGATCTAATGATCTCTGATTTTGAAAAAATTAAATATATAAGAAATTCTGTTTATGACATCTCTTCCCACTGACTTGGTTTAATCATATACTTTTTTACGTATACTTTCCAAAGGCAAAGTTTTCAGAAGATGGACATAATACTTTTCCTCTGAAGATAGTTTTCACATCATATATGCAAATTTCTCAATTTGAGGATTTTATTATTTTAGGGTTTGGAGTTGCTGCCTCCGATTTACGTGGCTGCACCGTTCGAGGCTTCTTGGATAAGAAGAGACCAAGTAAGTGGAATATGTACGCTTACATACATGTACATACACAAGCAGGTACATTCTCAACCTGCTTCGTCACAAAGTTCAACACAATTGCTCAGGTCGTCATGCATTATGTAAACTGTACTTATAATTGTATACTTTATCACAAATTGTAAAATTTTCAGTGGACAGGATTGTAAAAGGTAAAGATAATGAACATTAGTCAATCTCATAAATCCAGTAAACAAAACGAATCGTGGACAGGGCAAAAAACACGGAACCCTGGAAACACCAGAGGTGGGATCAGGTGCCTAAGAGGAGTAATCATCCCCTGTCGACCGGTCAAACCCGCCGTGAACCCTATGTATTGCTCAGGCAGACGGAGCACTCCGTAGAATTGGTTTTAAAATTGATCGTATTCTGATGATGCTCATATGTTTGAATTCAATTGGGGGGACATAAACACCATATAGGTGGAAGTGATCAAGGAATAAAAAAGAATATATGAAAATATGGTTCCAGCAGAAAATGTGTGTAACTATATTTTTTTTTATATTTGTAAGGCTCATTCTTACAACTGTACATGTATGTTTTTTTAAGAAGAACTTGATGATATTATACCACATACATGTATGGTAATCCAGCTCAACCTCGCAGTTCCCTTTCTAAGGATAAAATGTTTCAAAATCACTTTTCAGTTTTAAATACTTTAGAATAACAGTCAAAGGAAGTGAACTTCACCTAGAATAAATTATTTACTCTACCTATAGTGGATTCTAAGACTTCATAAAAAAATCTAACAAACAAAAATACAATGCAGGGTCCTATTAAAGTTCAACCAAACACTTAGCTTTACTAACAAAATGTTAACTGACATGAAGGAGAAACAAAACATTCAAGTGGTGTTAACCAATATGGATTCTCAAAAACTCCAAAGAACCTGAAAAATATAAGAAATCACATTTTTTTTTTCAAAATCGATAATATAATAACTCATTGCATTACAACCATTCCTTATGATAAATTAAAAACCATGTGATGGTACATTTTGTTGCCCTGTACCTACTGTCGCCTCCGACAATACCTAACTACCCTCACTGCATATTTGCTGTACACACTCACTGCACATACATGTATTGCCTGTCACGGGAAATAGGTACCATCATAGACCAGGCTTTTGACATCATCAAAAACTCTTATGACAACAAGGAAATTTTCGTATCTTGAAATTGGACATCTTCAAAATAAGTTTTCTTGAAAATTATTCTGATTCTGCACACAAGTTCCCTTACTTTGATAATAACAAGATGTTTGAATTCCTCATGAATAATATCTATGTAGCCTTATCACGTCTTACAACAATCTGTTGGGATACCCATGGGCGATGGACACTAATTTTTCTCCTTGATTAGTCGACCTATTTTTGTATTGTCATAAAGAAGAAATCATTCAAAAACCTTTTCATAGGAAGAGGAAGAGGAAACTTCTTGTTCAGACTTTCAGATCGACATTTAGATATATCGCCGAAATTTTATTAATAAATCGTAATTTTTACTCATACGTCAACTCGATATTTCCCAGTGAACTAAAAATAAAATTCACCATAGTATCTACCACATTTGTTTCATATTTGGATGTTCTGTCGACTTATGATAATGGGATGACTTCAGTTTTTCCATCTCCAACTTCCCCTGTTTATGTACAAGTACTGTTACAGTAGTAACATTCCATTATCACTTTCATATGCTCTTTCTGTCTCGCGGCTGAAAGGGTATGCAAGAGTATGCATTTATTTTAAGTCGAAGGCAGGCTTCTGAAAAATAAATTGATGTTGCTTGGCCTTCAACAGTCTCGAGCTCGTTTTAAGTCCTAATTTTGCAAATTCTGTAGTCGTTATAATGACAATTTACAAATACATCCGATCTTTAGGGTCACATGTTTCTTACGTGGTTTTCCCTGTGTTTTTGTCCTGTTCACAATTCGTATTGTTTGCAGGGTTTCTTTTCATTGTCTTCAAATTTTACAGGAAGCAATATGTGTCACATGTAGCTTTGAACTTTCAATTTAAACTGCAAATGAAAAAAATTGCAAGAAAGTTTCACGTTCACAATTTGAAGCTTGACTTTCTAAACGTTTATTCGATTTTTTAATGTCACAATCTAATTTAGAAATTTTAATTTCCAAAAAACATGTCTAAATATTTAATAAATGTTGGAATGAAATATATTTTCAAGCATAGACTACAAAGTTTGTGCATTGGCACTTCATGGAATATATAGAGGATATTCAATGTTTTGTAGATGAATATGGAATTTATTTCACGAGTGGGACAGGATTTTTTGATATTTTCACGAGTGCGAAGCACGAGTGAAAATATCAAAAAATCCTGTCTCACGATTGTTTATTACATTTTCTTTGATTTTCCCTTTGCCTCTGTCTTTTCCTAACACAGTGTCATAGGCCTGACGTCATAGTTGAGCGGTTGAGACGTCATAGCTTAGAAGTTGTGTGTCAGATTGAAAACATTACATAGCATGGATTTTAGCAATATATTTAGGAAGAAATTTGCAGTTTTAGCTCTATCAAGATGCTTAGTTACTATCTCTATCTTATGACAGGCCAGAAATTATTTTTTTACTTACTTTGATATCCTTTCACACTGTGAGAGAATATCATTTTTGGTATCCTTTCACACTGTGAGAGAATATCATTTTATTCAATGAATAAATCACAGTATTTCACTGTTGAAAATGTAATAAATGACTACATCCAATCTAACTCGTTGAATAATCTGTATTTCAATGTTTGGTGTAAGTTTTTTTTTACGTACATAATGAATACCTACTTTTTTTCCTTTCTAAAGTATTTAATCAAGTACATGGCGGTTTCAGACCACAAGAAGGTTTTATATATTAAGTAATCAATTACGCCACATATTAGGTAATCACTGTTTACATATCAATCATATTCATAATTCGACTTCATTCTGTTGTGAATTTTTGATACAGATAATAAGAAGTTAATTAATAATTTTATGGATTTCTTGACCAATTATTACATAATTAATTACAAGTAATTTCTATAATTAAAGTCACATTAGTGGCAAAGTGCAACATACCTAAGTGTTTTGTTGTTTATGAAAAGCGGTTTCTCAAAATTCTGCGATAGTACAATAACTGTGAATTGGGTTCATGACAGTACACGGAAATGTTAAAGAATGAGAAGTTCCACAGATTAGTTATTTTATCAAACTGAATTTGCATTGGCAATTGTACATAAAGTATTTTCTTGAGTTTTTTTTTTTTTTTTTTTTTTTTTTTAACACAACTTTTTCCTTTTAGTAATTACGAGTTATTTTATGTTATGATTTTTGTATGGTACATGTATGTACACCCATCCAGGTAAAATTAAAAAAAAACAAAAGAGTATATGCACGATGGCAATAGCTTACACAAAGTAGTGTTTAAATAAAAGTTTATTGGGGTTGCAATGTGCTTGGTAAATACTAAACCAAAGACTTACAGATACAGTTAATGAAGGAGTAGTTATTTGTTCTGGGTGTAGTTATTTGTTCTGGGTGTAGTTACCTGTTCTGGATGTAGTTACTTTTCTGGGTGTAGTTATTTATTCTGGGTGCAGTTATCTGTTCTGGGTGTATCTATTAGTTTTGGAATACATGCTTTTGTAATAGATTTGATTTATTATGAAATGAAGTATTTTCTTTACTTTAAACAAATACCGTATTTAAATTAATTATGAAACAAGAGAATAAACAAACAGAAAACTTAAGCTTCATATAAATGTTCAGAATGTTCGATGTATTACCATTTCAATATGTCCATAAATAATCATATCCAAATACAAAAGCATTTTTGTTTACTTTAGGTAAGAAACTTTTGTCAGTGAAATACCAAAGACGATGGTGTGTCCTGCACGACTCCACCCTGTACTACTTTTTTGACCCCAGGGACAGAAGACAAAAGGGATCCTTCTCTTTGATAGGCAAGTTATGTAATTCAACTAAGGAGTAAAAAGTATCAAAATAAGGATTACATCATCCAATTTTGGCGGTCCTTAACCGAAATTTCTTATCATCACAACTTATGACAAATAGTACTTGAATATAAATTTTAAAAGTTTATTATAAATATATTTTTTATTTCCTATCATTAAATATTGCAGGTTACAAATTTTGGCATGGAGGAACAGAGAACTCTTTTTCACTGGTGGCAAGTGGGAAAAGAACGTATGATGTAGGGAAGACAAATCTTTTTTTCTCTGTACAAATTTTCTATCCGCCACTCTAGAAAAAATCCTTTCTTATTTAATATCGATTCCTTCATTCTTAAGCTCTTCTGGTCGAGGACCAACAGAGTGTGAATTCTAAGTGTCTTGCTTTTGTCTTTTCATGTTCATTTGTTGGTAAAAAACGTTGCCCTTTCAGGATTTGTTTGATTTCAGTATTTAGATAGGGAAGTAACTTAAAAAAAATCGAAAGTAGTCCTGTTTTTCAAAGAATATATTAGGTGATATTTTAAAATTCTACATTTTAGTTCATATGTCCAACAAGTGAAGACTTCGAGAAATGGAAAGCTGGAATTCTAGCAGTAACAGAAAATGTCCGTAAGTATTTAAATTCTGTATAATTCAATTACGTGTGTAGATGTATTTAAATAGGCTGGGTAGAAATCTAAATCACAAGGTGTCAAATCGAACATCCTATTCAAATAATCATTTTATATTTTCTCCAGTTTTTTTTAAATATCTTTGTTCAAAAGTGTTCTGGTTAAGTTTTCACACATAGTGATAATTAGGAACTGAGATTAACCAGATTTACTTGCACAGGTCATTTTGAATAGATATGAATATCGAAGTTCAAAAATGTAATAATTATATTTGTCAATTTTGAAAGCTCTCGGACACGAGGTATTTGTAAACAAAAAGTCGATGCATAACAATATTACCTCCTCGCCTACAACAAACAAAAAGACTTTAAGAAAAAAATCGTTATCACGTGAAAGTTCGAGTGACAGTACAGACATGGAGATCCCCCCGTCACGACCCCCTCCTGTGACAAGACCCCCAAAGAGGCCACCGATGCCCCCGGTACCAAAAGCAGGTAAAAATTATCACTATGAGAGCAATATTTTCTAAATAAAAACTAACTTGATGATATTTATTTTTTAACAAGCAAAGAATACAAACTGGTTTTTACTTCGTTTTCAGGGAAAACCCCCGTTACAAAGAAGCAGTCAGAGCCTTCTATAGATGTATATGCTGCAGTAAACAAGTCACAGCTAAGCAGATCTAATACTGCTATTCCAATTACTACACCCAAAACAAATGGTCAGTTTTCATTTACTCAGAGTAATACATTTGTTAATTTTTTAAACAAACGATAATAATACATATATTTATATTAACAATACTAATAAGGATGATAATAATTATAATACATGTAATAAAAATAATAGTTAATAATAATAATAATAAGAAGAAGAAGTTACTTCTTTTATAATTAACAAATTAACAAATGTATTTTATAATCCACTTTAACTGCAGAGTTTGACTCGGACCATATCTTTGTAAGAATGCAAAATGTGTAACTATATTATTAAAAAATAAAAAAATAAAAAATATTATTAAAAATTTTATAATTATTATTGTAACTTTTAAAACAATGTTTTATACACTTTCAAGAGGAAAAAATCAACAGCAGACCTGTTTGAAAGATTGTCTATTCAGAACATATCATACATGCAAAACTACATGTATAGACTCACCACATGCTTTGTATATAGGCTATTTGTGATAGCTGTAATACTACTGATGGATACTATTTTGAGCAGGGTTTCTGAAAGACTTTAAGTACATAATGAAAGGAGTGTTGACAAGAACTTAAATATATGTATCATATGAGCCGTTTTGGTCTATTTCAAGTATGATAAACTAATAATATGTACATAAAAGTACCGTTTTAAAAGATAATGACTGAAAATTAAAATCTACACCAAATGAAATAATTGAAGAAGGAAAAATGACACGATGGAAATTGACAAAAAAGCTTTTTTATGCTATGTCCTATCTATAGCTTAAAACACTGTCGTTACATACGAAGAGATGAAAACATTGTAATAAAATGAATTTTTTGTTACAAAGGTGTCTACATACATTGTATGTCTTTTATAAAGATTCATTTCATTCTTAGTTCTCTAACTGAGTAATGAATCTACAACTGTTTATTTGTTCAGAAACAGATGATCTTGATGATTATGACGTGGTAGAAAATCACATGCTACAAAGTGACGTCAGTAAGTTTATTTTAATAAAAATTAAAAATTGAGTATTCTGGAGAGACAATCATTAATACTGTAATGTTGTAGCTCCGCGTCAGATCGATACCAGCGTTTAAAACTGTTATTGGTTATTGATATGCAGTACAACAGTAGATGTTTTGACCTTTTTACAATAAATTATAGGTTCGGCTCTTAAAAGAATTTATACGAAGAGTTGTGTTAAACCCTTTAATAGCTTTGTCTTTCTATGAACGGTATCACAAACTAAGTTTAAGTGTGATAAGCTGGTCAAAGACCTTCAAGGTGTTCTTAGCAAGTCTTCGAAATTAATTGCTAGCGCGAGAGAGTGAGTCCTCATCGCTTTTGTCCGAGGTTAAATCTGAATTTGGAACTCAAGCTATGGATAGTGAAATATCGTTAAAGTAAAATAAGATTTAACAGGAGCATTAAAACTCATTAATTACCAATCAAATGTTGTAGACATAGATATCTGTAGGTCAGATTAAAGTAAAAGCATTGGATACCAAGCATATTGATGAAGCAATATACCATAAAGTCATGTTTGGTTTGAAAACCATAATGATTTGATTAAAAAATAAACAAATCTAACTTTGTCCTTCTGTAAACATGCAGACGAGATACAGATGGACAGACAATTTAAAGACAAAGGAATCCAAGTTTGCTTGTGTAATATCCTGTTCGAATTTCGAATTGTACGATAAATATCATTCTAAAGGGTTTGTTTTTCTAATCTCATGTACTAAAACACTTTTGTTTATTATGCTCAGAAAAAGATGATCTTGACGATTATGACGTGGTAGATAAACACATGAAACACAGTGACATAAGTAAGTTAGCTTAGATAATGAAAAGTGTAGATCTCTTTTGTAAGACAACTTCTACAAAAACTTTAAACGTTGAAAGTTCTTGCCAATACTGACGACATTTTTGCACTGAAGGCACGGACTCGGACGATGAGATTTATGATCGTGCTGGCGACCCACCAGAACCAGTGTATTCTTTTGCTAGGCAGCACAGCACTCAATCTGTGTCCTCGTCAGGTAAACAGCCTGTGAGAACACTAAAATATGCTCTTATATATACCTGCTACGCTTTCAGAGCTTGCTTTTAATTTGCTTTTAACATGGAATAGCGCACGAGTTGTGGAATTGCAAATGTCATAGTTGGTGTTCGCATCGTTTTTCGGATGGGAAAAAAACTTCTAGATTTATTGCCTTTGAACAAATCAATCCAGGGACGGACGCCATTTGTGCATAATGATTGTGACTTTTGTACTAATCATGAAATGTTTTACTTTTAGTTTGGAACCATCTAGAGGATGTGAAATTAGATTTGAATGCCTTAACTTGGGTCTTACAGGGCACCTGGTCAAATTATTAAATTTTGTAACCCCTAAATAAGGTCGATCCTTCGAAAATTAAAATATTTAAAAAAAAAAAAATTATTAAACTCCTGAAAATCTAACAGCCAAACTTCTAATTATCTCCATCTACCAAATTTGAGACTGAGACATTATGATCTTTGTCATTCGTTATATCATGTATAGAAAATGAAGAAATGTTTTTCTTTTTCAAAATCGTTGTACTTTATTAACATATACTACATGCAGTCATTGCATAGATAAAAAACAACATTTTTTTAAGTTTTAAGATAAAATATGGAGATAACGAGCAGTATTCAACAAGCTCATAGTCCATTTAAACAATACAAATCGGGAGCAGAGCAAATACGGACATCCAAAAACATCAGAGGCGGGATCAGGTGCTATGGAGGAGTAAGCAAATCCTGTCGACCGGTCACACACGTCGTGTGCTCCTTGTCATGATAAGGTAAACGGAATAATACGTAGAAACTTGCATAAATAAATTAAGGCCTTACAAGTCCTTTTTTCAAAATTTGAAATAATATGTCAAAATGTTGAGCCTAGAAGATAATTGCCAACTACACTGTAATAACAAAGCTGTATGACGGAATGATTTCGGCTTTTCCGTCCTCAACTTTTCTTATTTATGTAGCAATATTCCAACATCATCTGCATGTGGTGTTGATTCGATTTACAAGAGCATACTCTGAATACGATCAATTTTTAAAATCGAGGCAAGCTACTAACATCAAATAAGTTGATGTTCCAAGGATTTCCACAATTCAGTTTAAAATAAGCTCTTCGCACATTTCACGGTCGTTATAACGGTATTGTTTGTAAACACAACCTATCCTTGGGTCGTATTTTGTCTGACATGTTTCAAGCCATTTGTTAGGTCATTGCTTTTATACTAAATTTGACCGCGGTGTACTCCATCTACCTGATCAATGCATAGCGCCTAAAGCGGGTGTGAGAGGAAGCTTTATTACGACGTATTATCAATTAACAATAGTTATTTCCATTCAAATGTCGACACGATATATCCAAGTGAGCTTGAAATAAAAGATACCGCAGAGTCTGACACATCTGTTTCATATTTGGATATTTTACTAGAAAAAGACGTTAATGGTAATCTAACAACAAAGCTTTATGATAAATGTGATGACTTTAACTTTTCAACTTCCCTTACTTATGCAGCAATATACCCTTATCACCTGCATATGGGGCGTATATCTCTCAGTTGATTCGATACGCAAGAGCATGCTCTAAGTATGAACATTTCTAAAACGAGGTAAGTTATTGAGAAACAAGTTGATGAAACAAGAATATCAACAGTCTCGTTTAAAGTCATCATTTCAATGTTCGATTCAATGACCTTGTAGCAAATACAATCTATCATTAAGTCATATGCTGATTGACGTTTTTCATACTAATTGTTAGGCCATTATTTACACACTGAATTGTCCGTTATTTACCGATCATGAAAAAGAGCACACGGCGGGTTTGACCGTCACCGGTCGGCAGGGGATACTCACTCCTCCATGATACCTGATCTCACCTCTGTTTTTGGAAGTCCGTGTTTGCTTTACTCCCGATTTGTATTCTTTTATTGGACTTTGAGCTTGAATACTATTCGTTATCTCCATATTTCATTACTCCTCCTAAGTGTTTTCATGGGTCCGTTATTTTTTCCCTGTTCACGATTCGTTTCGTTTACTGGATATATTTGATTGATCACAGTTCGTTATCTTTAACTTTTATATGATACAACGGGTTCTTGGGAAGCAATTTCAGTTTAGGTGGGCTCTACCAAGCAAAAATTCATTGACAAGCAAAAAAAAAATCATCAGGCGTAATTATTGAGGGGGCATATTACTAGTAATACAGTAGATTTGTTTTCTATGCTATATATCCCCACCCCGGCTTCTTCGGCCAAGCACAAAGTTACTGATTTATTTCTTATAAATTCCCTTTCTCAACTAGAAATATTTTCAAATTTCTTCACGTACTTGATAAAGAATTTCATAATTATGAAGATACTTGTCTGTATTGAGATCAGATTTGTGGGCATGTGGAGGTTTAAGTGAAAAGAATATTTAGGTGGTAAGTGGCCATCAGAAGGATAAGTGTGTTGTGGTGTAGGTGGAAATTAGGTGGATAAGTATATTGTGGTTGTCTTAGTTTAAATCCAGGTTTGAATGGGTACATTAAGTCTTTTGTGTGTGAAATTGAAATATGGCGGATGAAAAGAACTTAGGCGATAATGGAACTTTTTTTGTGATGTTGCTTGCATGCAAAGCTTTATATCGTGTTTATATGTACACTTTTGGATTATGCACGATGGATTTCCTTTAAGAAACTATACGATATTGTGATCATCGTTCAGGCCTTTGGACCTCAGCTTTATTGAAATAATCATTTTTCAATCATAGCAGTTCTGTACACATGTATCCATCTTACATACGACTACGTGTATTCATATTTAAAATTGATAATTATAAGTTCATTACAAATACTTCAATACATTTTGCCATGGATTTGCACCGTTAGCATCTAATAACAATGACAATTATAAGTAGCTATTACATATACAATATATTTTAAATCTAAGGTGGAAAGAATGCTACCATAACTGGAAATACATGTATCCCTAAAAGTACATGTATGTTTTTGTCTTTCAAACTTTTGACAAGCATACACATGTACATTCTTTCTGCATTATATTACATATAATATGTAGTCTTCGTGATTTAAACAAAGTTAAAGATGAATTCCATTTTCTATTATAATGTAATCTGTGTAGGAACTGTCACTATACGAGGGTCGTTCAATAAGTAATGCAAAAGGTCATCAGAAAAAATAAATAAATAAATAAGAAAAGCACTAAAAGCAGTTCCTTTATATATCTTATCCTTCACAGTATTTCCTGTTAATCTTTACACATGTCCCAAGTCTCTTTACCCATAACCGAAACACCTAACGCATACTCTTCTATGGGGTAACCCAAAAGAACTGACGGACAGCACTCCCAACGACAGATCTAAAATAGTAGCGTCTTCCTTCGCTGGCTTTCTTGGGTTTTTGGAATTAAAAAAATTGAATTCAAACATGCTTTCTCGTCAGATTTTTCTTGAGTGTTAAGAATAAAATGTCACAATGATTGAGACATAGCAAATAAGGGGGATAGCTACATGTAAGCCCTGTAAACGTTCCACTCTTCAACATTTGCTTTACATCTCTATGCCTGTGACAATATTACAGTGTATGTACATTATAACTAAATATAGTACCCATTTATTATGTACATCAGCGGCCTCAGTAAAATAGAGTCTGATTTTGTACAGCACCTAAGCGATATAGATTACATGTTTGCCGCCATTTGTAAACCATGACACGCCATGCTGTCTTGAATAAACACTCCAATCTCCTTACGAAGACATACTATGACATTGATACATGGTGTCAGAAGTAAAGTGAGTACCGAACTTCGTTTTAATTAACGTGATAGTGTGTTAATTCACAGTAAATAATTGTTTCTGGAGTGCAAAACGTGCTGGACCGAATTTCCTCGACTAGTACGTCCATGTTCCACGTTAGTGCAAATTATACAAGTTGTAGCGAATGAGTAGTGAACCCAGAGACGTTAGTGAATATATCAGATACCTTTACGGAATGGAGAATCAAGCAGCAGCGCCGGCATCGGTCATGCAAAGCCACATACCGCTCCCGCCAAAATTAGAGTTGGCCGGGAATATCGCAGAGCATTGGAAAAGTTGAAAACAGGTATGGGATTCCTATGTCATCGTGACGGGACTTTCAGACAAAGCCAACGCTTACCAGGTAGCAACTTTTATTACGTGTATTGGCCCTGAAGGCCTCGAAATCTATAACGGACTTCCATTTAAAGATGAAAATGAAAGGAAAGACTGTTGGCAGTTGTAATTTGACTCTTACAAATCCAAAAAATGGGGAAACATTCAAGGAGAACTTTGTTGTTGTGAGCAGTGGGTTACACCCTATTTTTGGCTCAAGCACAAGTCAGCGAATGAACTTGATTTCAGTCCAACATGAAATATCATGGCTATCGAGAACCCTAACACAAACAGTCACCTTGATATGGACACAATTACAAAGAAATTTGGAGAGATCTTTACAGGAAATGGATGCTTTAAGGGTCCCGTGCATCTAGAAATAGACAAGACTGTCCCACCTGTGAAACTACCTTTATGCCGTGTCCCAGTTGCAATCAAGCCACTTTTGCAACAAGAGCTGAAAAGACTAGAAGGACTACAGGTCATTGAAGCTGTCAACAAGCCAACTGACTGAGTGTCTAGCCTACTAGCCTTCAAGAAGCCGAATGGAAAATTACGCATCTGCATCGACCCAAAACCTTTGAATAAGGCTCTCCGTCGAAGACACTATCTCTTACTGTGATCGAAGACGTCTTGCCTGATCTAGCAAAGGCTCGCGTTTTCACTGTGTGTGATGTAAAGAATGGCTTCTGGCATATGGAGCTCGACGAGCAGCCCAGCTACCTTACAACTTTCGAAACTCCGTTTGGACGTTATCGTTGGCGCCGCCTACCTTTTGGCATCTCTCCAGCGCCTGAGATTTTCCAGCATCGCTTGGAACTAGCCATACAAAACTTACCTGGAGTCAAAGCTGTTGCTGATGATATCCTTATCTATGGAGAAGGAGACAGTGATGCAGAAGCCACATGCGACCATGACCAGAAACTTGTCAGCTTTTTGAACCGTTGCCGTGAGCAAGGAATCAAGTTGAATAAAGTTCAAACTGCGATTAAAGGAAATGCCATATATAGGATATGTTCTAACCCCAATGGACTCAAGCCTGACCCTCGTAAAGTACAGGCTATTATTGAATTTGAAACCCCTAAGGTTGTTTCAGGTGTGCAGAGGTTCTTAGGACTTGTGAACTATCTGTCCAAGTTCATGGACAAATTGAATGATATGTGTGAACCAATTCGTTCCCTTGTCCACCGAGATGTAGTTTGGCAATGGACGCATGAACATGAAGAAGCGTTTCGTAAACTTAAAAAGACAATATCGCAAACACCTGTTCTACGATACTTCGACTCGAAAGAAGAAACCACACTTCAGTGTGATGCATCAAGCACAGGACTTGGCGCATCCCTCTTACAGCAGGGACAACCAGTCGCTTATGCCAGCAGAGCAATGACGCCTACAGAACAACATTATGCTCAGATTGAGAAGGAGCTTTTGGCTGTCGTATTCGGAATGGAACGATTCAACCAATACACATACGGCCGCAAGGTACTTGTGGAAAGCGACCACAAACCACTTGATTCAGCGCCAAAGCGTCTACAAGGTATGTTTTTACGACTCCAGAAATATGACATTGAGATCACATACAAGCCTGGCAAGAAAATGTATGTGGCAGACGCATTGTCCAGAGCACATCCCAAGAGACAGACTACAGAACTCTGCACAGAGGAAGTATTCAAAGTATTTGAAGATATCAACATGGTGGAATAATTACCTATTTCACAAGCAAGGATGTTGAAGATACAGCAGACAAGTGACATAACACACGACTTACTTAAGCAGACTATTCTAGAAGGAGGGCAAAGAACAAGGAAAGTGCACCAGCTGAAGTGCACCCATACTTTCATGTGCGAGACGAACTATCCGTCAAAGATGGTATTATTTACCGTGGTACCCGTTGTGTCATACCGAAAGCATTACGTGCCGAAGTTATGGGAAAGCTTCACCAGTCACACATTGGAGCAGAAGGATGCCTTCGTAGAGCTAGAGAGTGTGTATACTGGCCGTCCATGAACTCTGAGATCAAAGATCTTGTCTCAAAGTGTGAAACTTGCGAACTTATGAACCATCACAGCAAAAAGAAACTCTCATCTCGCACGAGATTCCAAACCGCCCTTTGTCTGTTGTAGGAGTAGACCTCTTCCAATTACCAGTAAGTGATGACCAATACCTCGTCACAGTAGATTACTACAGCAATTTCTTCGAAATTGACAGACTGGTGTCCAACATCTCAGCTACCGTGATCAGCAAGTTAAAACAGCATTTTGCTAGACACGGAATTCCTGACAAAGTTATCAGTGATAATGGACCCGAATTTACCTCCCAGCAGTTTGAAAACTTCAAAGTCAAATGGGAATTCGACCATAAAACATCTAGTCCGGCATACCCAAAGTCGAATGGAAAAGCGGAAAATGCCGTAAAATCTACAAATCAGCTTATGAGAAAAGCAAAGCACAGTGGACAAGACCCATGGCTTGCGGTACTTGACTTTAGAAATACACCAACACAAGGAATCGGAGAAAGTCCAAGCCAGCGACTAATGAACCGCAGAACAAAGACATTGATGCCACAGAAAGAAACATTGCTATCACCATGTGGTAAAAAAAGATAACATCTTGAAAATGAGGAAGGAAAAGGACAGACAAGCTCGCTATTACAACCGTACAGCAAAAGACCTGCGCGATTTACAACCAAGTGACACAGTGCACGTGAAGCCATTACAACTGAGAGAAAAGGAGTGGAAGAAAGGAACAATCATCGGCAAAGAGGGAATGAGATCGCACAACATACAAACACAAGACGGGACCTATAGGAGAAACCGCTCTCATCTGAAGGCCACTCGTGAGAAACCAAATGACTTTTCTGTTATTCCTGACTACACAACTCCGAATGAACAGTCAGTCGATCATTCCAGACAGACTGTTCTGTGTGGGAGCCGATTTCTGGACCAATTTCTGAGACCGCCAAAAGTGATCGAACTCTACCTTACAAACCGATAGTCGTTTCGAGCCGAGATGTGCCACTGAAGCTCGAGGAACCCCCAACCACTCGTTCTGGACGCATTGTTAAGCCGCCACAATATTTGGAGAACTATGTGCAGGCTGTGTTTTATGTGTAATGAACTGTTTCAGTATTATTTTCATAGACTAGTCAGTTTATAATATTGTTGTTATTGAAATTTCATAATCTTGTAATCTCATTCTTGTTTAGTGTTTAGATCCATTAAAGGATTTTTGTTTCTTTTTTTTTTTAAAAAAGGGAGACGTAATAATCATTACAGTGTACATTATAGCTAAATATAGTACCCATTTATTATGTACATCAGCGGCCTCAGTAAAATAGAGTCTGATTTTGTACGGCACCTAAGCGATATAGATTACACGTTTGCCGCCATTTGTAAACCATGACTTACCATGCTGTCTTGAATAAACACTCCAATCTCCTTACGAAGACTTACTAAGATATTGATACAATGTCTATTTGCAGCAGCGTTGTCGGCCACAAAAAAAAAACACCCTGGGTACTTGTATTTGAACTTCTCTTATAGATCACTTGCTTATCTTTCCTCAGTACAATTTTAATACAAACGCTATCATTGATGGTCCTTCCTTTGAGTCTAGGTACACGACTTGACCTTTCGGAAAAAAAAAACAAGAAAAACCTGCATTAGACCTGTTTGGAGCTATGGGTTTTCTTATATGCATCTTTAAGGAAATAATGCACTCATTTGACAGAAATATTTTTTTAATTCATAAATGATTTCTCGTCAGAACTCACAGAACTCAATCAACAGTTGTAATGGTGAAATGTTTATTGCCTTAGCAACTCTCTCACTGCAAGGTTGCCAAGAAGATGAGATGAGGGCTTATGTCAAAATTGCTTGTTCATCACAAAAATCGCTGAAGAATTAAAATGAAGATAGTGCTTTGATATCTGGAAAGACTAGTCTTTCACGTAGTACGGTGTTCAGGTGGATTAGAAAATTCAAAAGTGGAAAGGGGGACTTTCGTGTAAAAGACTGCAATCGATCGAGATGTGTAGGGACACCAAAAAATATCGATGCTGTGAGCAACATGATATTTGAAAATGCCAGATTTACAGTGATGTGCCTTACCAGGGATTTATACAAGATACCAGAGGATGTTATATACTATATAATCCTATTGGAAATCACTAGCATTGCCAATATTACAATTTTTTGATGTCTTCATTTTGAGAACAGTTTAAAAATCACAAGATAATGATAATTGATTAATTCGTTGTATATTACATGTAAGAAGAGATACAAAACAGCTATTCGAGCAAGGTGTCGTCGTTTTCTAAATCAACTGCTTCCACATTATTATGATATACCGTATATTCGGCATTATTTATGGAACGACCCTCGTATGTTTCTGCAAAATGTTAAAATTTTAAATTTTGACAACAATGATTTAAATGCTTTATTTAAGAAATTTAAAAAAAAACACATGCATGCAATAAAAATGTTTAATGCTAAAAGTGACTTAGGCCCGATGGGTCGTGTGTTTATATATGCTTGTTTGTTTTATGAATGTAAAGTTGATGTTTACACATTTTAATATGATAAAAAAGCTTATTACAAAAATGAATGTAAAAAATGCACTCATTGTATTTACGTTTTTTAAAATTTTCTACAGTGTGTATAAGAATATTTAAGGAATAAATTTAATAACTACCCAAGTTATACTGTATAACCTGGGTTGGGAGAGTTTACGCTTCATAAACCGTGGTTTATAAAACATTAACTGTTCCAAACCAGGTTATACAAGTATTACTAGGGTAGCTATTAAATTTATTCCTTATAATTTAATTTTCTATCATTAAGTGTAACTAATGTGACAATTTTCCCTTCAATAAGAACTTCAATTTCTTCAAATTTTAAATGTAACGTCAAGCGGATTTAAAACTTTTTTTAACGTAAGTCATCGTGGCGTAGGCAACACAGGTTATACAATATAAACAAATTGTTTTATTCAATCAAATGACGTGTTACAACTAGAAATAAATTATATTCAGATATTACAATACTTCATATTTCCAGATTCTGAGGTGGATTATGCTAGGGTAAATCCACGCAGTTCAGACCTAGATGACTACGCAAGTACCACCGAGATCCAAATGCTTCGGCGTACCTCGTCTGGTTATGACAAACCATATGAAATTGAAAATCTGAAAAAGGAGTCCGATTTTCAAAATTCCAGTAATAATATATATTTTCATTAAAATTAAATATGTGTTGAATATGTCTTGGATTATATTTTGGTCAGTAAATAATAGCAGTAATAAGGGTTGTGTGGTGTGGATACCTACTTTATTTGTAGTACAATAAACATGATCATAGATTATCTTTATTTATATGGATTACCGTTTAGAAAAAAAAAGGTTAGGCCACATTGTTAATATCCGTTTATATTTTTTTCTTCTTCAGATGAATCATCATACCTAACTAGTGCTGATCTACATGGTCCAAAAAGTTCTAATCATTCCCCAAACAAACAAATGGAATCCAGCATCGCATCACTGTTGGGCCTAAAACTTAAGGGTGAAAAACAAACAATATCATGTGACGCAGACTTTGATACATACGTGGAATTCATTGCAGAGGGTGTGAAACAAGCTCCCTCATCTAAAAATAGCAAGTCAAAAAAGAAGCGTCACATTGAGGAGTCCGTCTTGAATAGTGTCCCGGAGGACCCGTACATGGAATTTGTTGGGGAGGGAGGACTAGGTGAGGAGGGAGAGGAGGAGGAGGATGAAGACGAGGCTTTCCAATCAGAGGACTCTTCTAAAGATAGTGACATTGTACAGACCAAGAACACAAAGAACGAAGCCAAACAGAAGAAACCATTGTCTCAGATTCATTCATTACAATTAGAATTAAATACCAAACTCGTTCAGCGATTACAGGGGGCAAGACAAGTCACATCACCAGACAAAGAGCCCGATGTCTCTGGGGAGGATGAACCTTTGTATGAAAACTTCTTAAAGATAAACTCTTTGGAGACACGGAGTCTCCCACGTGACATTCTGCCTGCATCTCCGACATTACAATTACATAAACGGAAACAGTCGAGTTTTGAATCCAACAGTGACAGTTCTAGTGAAGATGAATTCCCTCCATGTGTTTCCATGTCACACTAAAGTAGAAAATTACACGCAACTTATTTAAATGAAATTGAAGCTAATGTAAAAGGATGCAATGTAACTGTACTATTTACTTATACAAAATCGTCCCCAAGAAATAATAATCTTACTTTCAGTTATTGGTATGTTGGAAATTGTCTACAGTAATTTTTACAGAAACTGGCATGTTGAAGTCACATTCAAGAGTTGCCTTTCTTAAAGCAGTGTCTAGAATGGAGAGGGGTCAAATATCAATGAAAGAATTGCTGAATAAATGAATGGAAAATCTTTTCAGAGAGGTGTGGTAATGAACATGTATTTATATTATCGGGTAATTGCCAGACGATAATGTTTCCTTTGAAGCATTGTAACACAATTAAGACCATAGTATGATAAGCGAATGGCTTACAGATATGTACATTTAACTCAATGGTGATTTAAATAACATTATACATTCACATACAATGTATCTCTTCTCTTTTTTTGTTTTTCATTTACTAATATGGTGAATTCATGACCGTCGGAAACACAAATTCTATTTAAAGTACATTTCCCAAATCACTAGTACAAAACAATCGGAGCAACCTTTTGATTAAGGAGACTGGGGGGGGGGGGGGGTTCAACAAATTAACCATCAGATATAACTTAATTTTTAGCTCTACTGGTCAGAGACCAGAAGAGCTTATGCGATAGTAAAGTGTCCGTCCGTCTGTCTGTCTGTCTGTCCGTCCGTCTGTAAACAATTTTTTAAAATGCTTACCCTCCTACAGTTTTAGTCTGATTTCAATATAACTTAGCACACTAGTAGACTACACTAAGATACGTAATTCTGTATATCGGTTTTTGATTTCGATGAACGGTGTTGCCATGGTTACTAAAAATAGAGATTTCTGGGATGTACATTCAAAACGCTACTCCTCCTACAGTTTTGGTCTGATTTCAATATAACTTAGCACACTAGTAGACTACACTAAGATACGTAATTCTGTGTATCGGTTTTTGATTTCGATGAACGGTGTTGCCATGGTTACTAAAAATAGAGATTTCTGGGAAGTACATTCAAAACGCTACTCCTCCTACAGTTTTGGTCTGATTTCAATATAACTTAGCACACTAGTAAACTACACTAAGATACATAATTCTGTGTATCGGTTTTATATTTCAATGAACGGTGTTGCCATGGTTACTAAAAATAGAAATTTCCTTGAAATACTTTCAAAACACTACTCCTCCTACAGTTTTGGTCCGATTTCAATATAACTTAGCACACAAGTAGAATACACTAAGATACATAATTCTGTATATCAGTTTTTGATTTCTATGAACGGTGTTGCCATGGTTACTAAAAATAGAAATTTCCTTGAAATACTTAAAAAATGCTACTCCTCCTACAGTTTTGATCTGATATCATTATAACTTAGCACACAAGTAGACTAGACTATGATACATAATTCTTTAAATTGATTTTTGATTTCGATGAATGGTGTTGCCATGGTTACTAAAAACAGAAATTAATGTGAAACTCTTTTAAAACCCTACTCCTCCTACAGTTTTGGTCTGAGTTCAGTATAACTTGGCACACAAGTAGACTACACTATGATAGAAAATTCTCTTTATTGTTTTTTGATTTTGTTGAATGATGTTGTCATGGTTACTAAAATTGAAATTTCTGTAAAATTCTTTTAAAAGACTAATCCACCTATAGATTTAGTCTGATTGCAATAAATCTTAATAATACAAAAATCTCAATAAAACAAAAACAGACTACACCAAGGATCATTATTCTATGTGTTGCTGTTGCAAAGTTTCAGTTCCAAGTATAACTTTTAAGTACAAACCAGTAGAGCTACAGTCTCATCAGAGAGTTCTGGTTTAGATATGATATCTTAAGCTGTCAACTATCATCTGGCAAACAAAAATTTCATACATTTTAGTTTTAAAATTTGATCATTTTTGTATATCTTTATATGGAGCTCTTCTTCTAAAGGAGATCAATATAGTCTGAAAATGGCCACAACCACCCAGCCCTCTTAACATAATCATCTAACTTAGGATCGAAAGTAAACAAAAAGTACTCACTTTAAACGTTAATTGCACTTTGTATTTTTTTTTTCAATAATTGACAACTGAAAGTATGTTAAAAGGAGGAATAAAACACGAGAATACCAACCCCAGCAAAACAATAAAGAAATAATCGTTCATTCTTCGACAACCGCATACCCACCTCCTGCTATTAAAATAAGATTCTTATATTTACTTCTTTCGCCAAGTTGGATTAAATTTAGAAACAATGGACTAAATTATTTTTCGGTTTATTTTATAGACCAAGTTTAGTCAGCTCCATTATTATAATTTTGGGGGCAATGTTTGATTGACAATCTCTAAGTTATCAATCAAATCTTAGTCCTGAGACTGAGGAGTAGTGAAAAGCTGATTAAACTAGACTGAGGAGTAGTGAAAAGCTGATTAAACTAGACTGAGGAGTAGTGAAAAGCTGATTAAACTAGACTGAGGAGTAGTGAAAAGCTGATTAAACTAGACTGAGGAGTAGTGAAAAGCTGATTAAACTAGACTGAGGAGTAGTGAAAAGCTGATTAAACTAGACTGAGGAGTAGTGAAAAGCTGATTAAACTAGACTGAGGAGTAGTGAAAAGCTGATTAAACTAGACTGAGGAGTAGTGAAAAGCTGATTAAACTAGACTGAGGAGTAGTGAAAAGCTGATTAAACTAGATAACATCTGTAATTCTCAACGCTTGTGTAAGAATATAACAAAACTATATCAAATGTGGTTTGATTATGGAGTTTGCGTACACTTTAGTATACACATAAATATGACATCTTTCGAATTTGAATTATGTCAGGTTAGGTAATTCAATGAAATAAACTGGTTTATCTAATCTTACTTGATATATTCAGGACGACTGAAACATTTTAAGGTAAACGGCTATAAAACCTTGTACATATCAGCATACAGAGGTGATGATTTTGCTCTTCATAATTTCACAGACACTTGGAGGAACATTTTTTGACTTTATTGCCCTGTTCACACGGAGAGTTTAATTCGCAGTAAATTAATGCGAAGTAAAATGATTCGAATTAAACTAATGCGAATCAAATTGCGTTCACACGACAGCTAATGCGAAGTAAACTAATGCGAATTATAATTTTATTTCTATAACAAGGCTACTCAGTGAGGCTATTATGACGTCATTTACAAATCACATCATATTTTGCAGAGCAGATATACATTTGACGTAATATCATTTTGTCTGTACACATTTTAGTGATCAACATAATTTTCCTTTGTTTTCCACTCAAAAAAAGCACAAGTACCTATATTTGACCATCGAAATGTGGCCTGTGACTTAATTCTGCCCTTACGCATGCGTCAAAATTTAATTCGAATTAGCTTCGCTTAGCGTTCACACGAAATTAATGCGCAGTAAACTAATTCGAATTAAACTAATTCGCATTGAATTCTCCGTGTGAACGCGGATCAAATTTAATTCGCAGTAACTTACGTTTAATTCGAATTAAACTCTCCGTGTGAACAGGGCATTAATTTGAATGACTGTGTTCTACTTCAGCAGCTGTAATTCCCAACGTGACACACTTTTATCTCTCTAACAAAAACAATTCTAGGTTATAAAATTAACATCTACTATCCGTTAATCATATTAAAAGAAGCTGTACAGGATACATATTTTGTATTTTATTGAGAAATACTGGTCAATTGGTCTTATCGAACAATTCAAAAGACTTCCGTCATCTCTTCAACTAATTAATACATGTAGTAATAAAAATTTGTAATTCAAAACAGAAAATATGCCCTACTCAGATAAAACTACTTCTCAATCAAAACAGAAAATATGACCCACTCAGATAAAACTATGTTATAAAAAATAAATAAATACTTTATATATAAGTTTGACCGACATAACATAATTACATGTCTATGTTTATCTTTAGAATGCGCTGAAAAGGAAACCGAAGAACATTTAATTTTACAATAAAGTTATGTGACGATTCTCTGTCTGTAGAATAGAAGTTTGGAGGAACCGAACACGGTTATATAGTTTGGCTGTTCACGATCACGGCTTATAGCGAAAGGGATAGAGTGAAATAAAGACAATGGCCTTGTATGGTTTTCAAGAACGCCCACAAATCACGTGATGTATAGTATACATGTACAATCAAAAGCTAGACTACAACAACACAAGAATTTTATTCCTTTGATGAACGGGCCATCTGAAATGTTTAGGACGATGTAAAAACTGAACAACTTTATAGATTTCTGTGGGAACAAAACTATAATCCATCAACTGTTCTATATCACGCAATCTGAAATGATGTATGAAAGTCATATTCCCCGCTTTTATTCCGTCATCAAAGAGACCTCCATCAAAAACGGCATATTTACTAGTGGCATGCAGACATGGACTTAAGCACCTCGAAATCTAACTCTGTCGCATTCGTGACATGTATGTGTGAAGGTTTTATTGCATATGAGTAATCTGGTATATATTTTTTAACATTTTTAAAAATTGAAAACATTTAAAACAGGTACAATGTGCATCACTTTCAGATTAAACGAAAAAGCATCTTTTACCTGCTTAATCTTCACAATTTGTGATTTTGCTTGACGATTTTATTTATTTTTTTTTATCCTTTCTTTGTATCATTTTTTGATTTTCTAACATGCTAATTGAGCGTAATATGCCTTTAATTGTAAATTGTTTACTTCTAAATACCTGGTTTGAACCTTCTCTGAAACAATTCAAACTTTCAGATTTTACGTTTTATAGATGTGTCACAAACAAAAAGATCTAGATGGAATATCTTTGTGATTTAACCAACAATACCTTAATTCGCAAAACATGTCACATTCTGTTTATATATCAAAACATGTCACAAGACACCAAATGCGTGTTGTTGCATAACAGTTGTTGTTTCATTAGAGATCCTTAAAATAAATACCCGGCCTCACCAGTCTCATTTTGATGGATTTGTTGACAAAGGTTACCGTTAGAGGTCTCCCTTGTATGGGGTGGTATTTCCTTTGGTTCCTAGACATCTTGTCTGTCAACATGGCAGTTCCTGACACGCACCTAGCGGCCGATCAGGGGAGGTAACCGGTGAAGAATGGATAAACATTCTAGACAAACACTGAGTAGAATTAATAAGATGTTTAATACCTGCTTAATATGCATGTAGAGTAGCGTTTATTTTATGTAAAAATTCGCACCAGGAGACTATGTGTCATTTTTTTTTATTTCTAAAAAGGAACTGCTGATATTATCCCTGTTTTAAAGTACATCACACTTTATTTTATCAACACTTTAATATAGACGAAATTAGCACAAGATAACAAATTAAACTTGATACTAAATACACTGACAGGTTTATATGTATATTTGAACAGCAGGATACAAAATATTGGGTATTAGAACAGCGTCGGACATTATAATTGAATGTATTTTGCTCTAATATCGTTTATGTATACATGTACACTGTAGTTCACTAACATCATTTCCTTAGCTGTTGTTGATTTAACATGTCATGAAAAATATTAATATTCTTCCCATTTTGTTTTTGTGTCGTTTTTGTTTTCTTTGCTTAAAAAGACCATAAAGAAGTCAAAATTGGTTTGAATCATTTAATATATTCTAAAACAATCAATTCATACATAACAATAAAAACCAAATATTTAAAGGGCCAAGTATTTGAGACATCACAAAATTCAAGAGCCTTGTATATAAAGATCACAGAGATTAAGCCAACACTTCAGATTGTGTTTCATCAAGTATATAAACTGAATGATCAGTTGTTGTTACTCTAGTCCGGACTTTTAATCGCTGACGTTGCGTTGTTCCGACCCCTCTCAGAGATGTTAAACGTGTAAAATACAGAACTGTGGCGATTTGTGATTGACAGGGGCTGATATCAACCGGAACCTTACTAGGTACTTTGTAGAACAGAAGGCATATCGAAACGGCTGCTAGCTTCCGAGTGTGTATGCCGAGGACTTGTTAGTGACTTGCTGAATATTACAGCGCATATGAGAATACTCATCTGATTCAATTACTGTGCACTGGTAGTAGAGGAGAAAATTACCTCCTGTGTCGAAGATAATAGACTCAAAACGATTTGATACCATGAGGGAAACGGGACTTATGGAACTAAGATAAACAAATGTAAAATGTATGGGATACTAGTAGTTATTTAGAATTATATTTTTGTGTAGAGATTTTGATCTTTTGATTTAAAATATGATGGTCAGTGTAAAGCTGTTGACGATTTGTTTTGTGATTCTTAATGTGGAATTTTATGGGCACGGATACAGTACGTACCCCAGGAGGTATAACAGGGATAGTGTGTGGGGCACCTGTCCCAAGCACTGCAGATGTATGACCCTCAACAGCAGGGGAACCCGAGGACTTCTTGATACGTGGGGAGAACAGCAAGTGTCTGAAAAGACCCTGAAATATTTCTCCAAGGGTATAAACGACGAAGCCGCTAGAAATGGACGGAGCATGGTGTGCCAGGGTCTTAGGAAACTTCCAGATCCGATTCCGGCAGGTAAGGAGTCGAAACTCCAAATGCTAAAACGGAAGTTAGCATATTTCTATATATTAACATTAAACACCCTTAACTTTCAAATTCTGTTCTTTATATGTACTTCCTACATATTTTTCTCCTATACTCTTAATGTTATCTTTCTTGCAAGATAACTTTATAAACGCAAATCAAAGACAATTAATAATCAAAGATGGAAGATTACAATTAATTACGCAAAGATGAAGAAAGCAATGACGTTAATTGCATCCCTACAGACTGTCATACGATGTATGTCTCGACAGTATCTATACATAAAGAGTAAATGTTTTAGATCATTTCATCAAATTGTTAGTCATTCTCACCACGTGTATCAATGCAATTAACCTAATTAATGCTGTAATAATCACTCTGCAACTTCTTTTGTGGCTTTGGTACATTCTATTGAGAAATCCTTTTTTTAATTAATCGTATGTCAATTCCGTTTGATACATGCAGTTTTTGGGAAGAATCTTATTATAAAACCATTCGTTTTATTAAATTTCGGAACGTATTTAAGAGTTTTACAACTATTACATTGTCCCACTGTTGAAAGCGTTACTGTCTTGCCATCGTTCATCGAAACTTTAATATGTTTAGTTAAGATTCATATTTCACTTGATTTAATGTAGAAGTTAAATAAATAGCCCAGTCTCTTACTGTGATAAACTAAACAGAAAACTGACAAGGGCACATTTTATCTCATTGTGACTTGAGTCATTTAGAGATTCCTCGTGTCACACGTGACACAGATCCAGCGGTCAAGAATCTCCAGAAAATTGCGTTCTCATATAACGATAAAACCTGGGTTGACACAACAAAGCGCCCCGATTTTCTTTAACACGGAGGGCATATATTATTGTTCTATTCAATTAGAAGATCGTATCTAGCCAGTCGTTGGAAAGGAACGATTAGAGAGATGGAAAACTTAACACTAGAAAGATTGCTAATGGCATGGAAACATGAAAACGCGAAATTAGTTATCATTAAGTATACGTTTGGAATTTTTTTTATTCCAGTCCTATTTATTTTTCAAGTAAATCCATTGATTTCCATGCAAACAACTTTGAAAGCTGAACAAAAATGTGTGAGGACAACTGTTATCTATATGTAACAGATTTTTTAAGAGTTCATAAAGTTATTGATGTTATTTTTGACAGATAACGCCAGTCTTCAAACTTTTAAATTCTTTATCTTCTAACTTTGGAAACTTTAGCCAAAGATTCTATTGAAGACCATTAAACATATGAGCTTTCGATCAAATCAGAAATTACATGCTGTTGATGGTACGTCAAAGATCAGAGCGCATGCTGGCTCATAGATATTAAAACGATCATTGTACACTGTACAGACAAGGATGAAGCGGAGATATTTTTCAGAATTTTTTCTCTTCAATACTAAATCATGAATAAAACTGATGTTTGCGATAAATAAATATAAAAAGCAAAATTATATAATAATGTCTTTTATTTGTAAACGGTACTGACTGAACGGACGAAGTACCTTGTGCACTCCACGAAGAAGATGGGGAGGGGGGCTTTAAAAATGAATTAAATATACATGTAAAGGCATACAGAGTAGTGAAGCGTGGCTGACATTCAGTGTGGTGACGGGTCCAAAGAGCAAACCGTCCACTTAACTGGCCAGTGTATTCGACTACGGTCACGCCTCATCTTCTATTTTATGGCGTGATTTTCGCCACCATCTCTGATTACATCTTTAATGTCTAAAAACACCTCTGTTTAGTAAGATATAGCAACAGTGGTCCATCTCAAATGAGTTCAATGCCCAAATTTGACAAAAATTGCCCAGAATAAAACTCCTGTCGGAAAATTTGCTAAACTACGAAATGGATCAAGCAAATGCTTAATTAATGCAATTTCCTTACACTATTCTTTGCAGCTTTTTACTTTTTTTTTAAATTTCTTTTCTTGCTCACACCTTTCAATGTGAAAATTACAATATGACAATGACTTTTTGATACTAAAAACTTGCAACTAGGCCATCTTTAAAATTTCTGTGGTTGCCCTCTCCCGATCGACTGACTAAAAATGGCTCGACTCAAAACTTTTTTTAACCTCCAGGAAGCAAATATTTTTTTTTAATGCATTCTGGAATATATATTAAAAAAACCACTAATGTTGAAATTTTCTAGGAAAAAAAAATATTCCCACCTACCTATCGACCAATTTTTTTCATCCTGGGTCGGGAGAGGGCAACCAAACATTTTTTTAAAGATGGCCCTATATATACTAAGGAAAATCACGATAGATAGAATACTTACATTCATTATATTAGAAGCTACAATCATCACCTTATAAACTAGATAAAGTCTACGTTTTCACCTTGCTGATGGGAAGCTCACCTGTTCGTTTAAAGTATCGGTATAATCTTTATCAGAAGTATAGGTTATACCTAATGTCTTTATTTCACCGATTTCTTGTCATAAGATCTTCCTTCAAACAAAAGTAATTACACTGACTTAAATATTTCGTCAAAGGTATACCCTTTGAATCATGTTAAGCTGCTGGACGACCCAATCTCATATTTGAAAATATGTGAAAAGATTCCGTGTTTATATGAAGTATTTGCATAAAAAGTGCTTCTGATTCGTGGATTTTGAAATAGAGGTTTTTTTTCATTGTTAAGAGAAATGAATATTGTATGATGTTTTGACGAAGAAAAACGAATTGTAAACCTCATTAAGTTACAAACATTTAAATGAAATGAAAACCTAGTTGTATTGAATGCACAGGTGAAAACATTGATTGCTGAGGTTCATTTTGCACTTAGAGTCAAAAGAGTACCTCATCTGTAAAAAATGGTCAAAAGATAGAAATCAATAGAATCTACGTTTTATTAGAGCTGAACGCTAGTCGACATCGGTCTGTTTCTGCTTGGTCGACGACATTCTCCAGAACTCATTTACGATATACGAGTTGACTGTTATACCAGAAAAGAAAGGGGGAGTTAATGACAGTTTTAAGAGTTGAGAATTGATCCCCTATTCTAGAACATTTGGTCAGTTAAATTCACACTCAATTATCAGAATTACCGGACTAAGAGAGCTGAACTCTTTAGACATATAGAATGTAGTTCCGTATAGATCTCTGTAAACTTCATGGGTTTTGTGTGAGGTTCTAGGAATTTAATCATAAAGTATAAGCACGAAAAGTGACCTTTAAGTTCGTTTATACAAACATCAAATCTCTTTTTTATTACCTCTTTGTCTCTGCAAACTGTTTCTAATAGCTCACCCGAAGCTAATACGGAGAATGAATGTGTCGTGTCAAAGTTTGTCTTCTGTTTGTCCCCTATCTGTGTTTCTGCTAAAACTTAACATTTTGTTTTTCTTCAAACAAGAACCACTTGGTCCAATTCATTCAAATTTGTCACAGAGCATCCTTAGGTGAAGTAATTGGTAGTTTATTAAAAATGAAACGGCTTACGCAGTATTCATCTCGAGGAGGAAGTTATTGATATCGTAACGTACATGTATTTAAAATTCTTTCCTCAAGAAGCATAGTCTCAGAATTATTAAAGTTGCGCAAAATATGTCGTATAACGTGTATATAGAAAGACAGAAATGACATGATGTCCATTTGGTCTGTTATGATCAAAGTTTAACATAGGAAAATAAAGAAAACATTTATTAATGTCTTTACTTATATAAAAAAAAATCAGGTCCATAAATAGTGAATCATTAACAAACATGAATTTGTGTTGCTGAAGTCACCCTCGGAGTTAGTGTTATGGATAAATAGCAATACACAATTCAGGTACGTGAACGATGTTGTCCACGGGCCTCTTATTTTAATTATTATGTTAAAGAAGCTCTAAAAACTGCACATTAAAAAAAATTAATTGTAATATAATTTCATGCAGTGATCCGTCCAAAAGAAACGGGAATCTACTTTTAAAAACACAATTATTAGACCAAGATAATGTAATTGAATAATATTATTTACATTTATTTAACCAATGTTCGTAAACATCATTGATTTCTCTTTATATATACACATGTACTTCATTTTCTTTTTCTGGGAAAGATATGACAGGTTCCCTATGTTGACAATGAACTAGATAAACTCAATATGTACACCTTTTCTCAAAGTCCTCAAAACATTTCGTAAGTAATTAGAGTTTCTTTAAGACATTTTTTAAAATTCAATTTTCCCTCTCTGTAAACTATAGCTAAATTTTTCGTGAATGGAATTCATAGTCTACCTGAATAAAGTTTTAAAAACGTAAAAGTAAAAAAAGTCTTGATTATGTAATGCATATTTTTTCATCACATGTTTAGATTCATGAATGAAATTGTCATTTGCTTATTAGATTTGGCGAGAACTTTATGGCATTGTTATATAAAGGAACAACGACAAGTGCTGGGGCCAGCACTTAAAATTAAACGTTGTCTTCCGTTGTAACAGTGGCTTAACTTAATATATAGTACCAAGTTTTGTAGAAAAAAAAATCTTTTAAGCTTATTTGTCGGCGCATCAACCATTTTCATAATGCATTTAAAAAACCTTGGTACCAGAGTTCTTAGGCTCCATATTATCATGATAAAGAAAAGATAGATAAAATAATCTTGTTCCATCTTTCTGAACCTGTTGGTCGATTTTGGTATATCTAATATGTATTTAAAAATGTCTTATTAATATTTTTCTACTAGAGCTGAAATGTTGATATATGTCGGGCTCGTTTTTTTGCCTGTGACCACGTGTCTGTGGAAAGATAATGTCAAAATTGACCTAAGGTTACCCTAACCCGAGCCCGGATAACCGACTACAGCTGTTCTTACACCTAATGTAATCAGTATGTCACTGAATATCAACAATCCTCACCATTACAGTTTATATGCACTTGTTTTATTAGAAAAAAAACTTCCTGAAAAAAACTTCAAAACGTTGCATATATTCTGTCCGGAAGGAAAACTAAAAATCATGACGAAGTACAAGTATTGTTGTATATATATTACTGAAATTTTATCCTTGATAAACATAATAAACAAAACCCTTTTATCTAAATTTTTGAAATTAATCGATTTTCCAAATTCACTATTTCAAGTCTTAATTTTTTTTAACACATTATCTCTTATCTTGTAATCATCGACTGGTTTCTCGAGCCATATTGCAGGAATATACGCAACAAAAACTAAGAATAAATAAATATACAGCACCATAAATCTTTCCGAAAATCAGTAGGATTTTTTTCTGATATGATTTTGGTGAAAAGGTGTTTCATCAAGGTGATATAAGAGTGAGAAAGAAAAAACCTCTAGTATACTTTTTCTACATTTATCAAGGTTTTCTATTCCCAGACTTGTTCTTACTGTGGTCGCGCAGAATTACCACTGACTTATGATATGTTACGAATTTTTTTTTTATCAGAATCGAAAATAAGATATGAGAAATGAATGGGAGCAGTGTATCTACAGAGTACACCTGTGGTAAAGGGAAATACTTGGTTTTCCGAGCACCTGCCAGCCGCTTATAAATATTCTGATATCTTGCACACTGTTCAATGGTTTGAAATTTTACTGTATTGATAGGTATCTACAAGTCGTTAGAAAGGGTTCGTGTCAAATCAACTTTTTCTATGTGTTTAAGGTATTGAAACTAGATACAAAATGTCAGTGGAATTGCCTAATGTAGAGCTTTAGACACCTGCTTATATCGATGTTTGCGATGTGGGGGTTATTTGAAAAAGTTAATGTATGTCATTCCACTTTTTTTTTATTTTATAAAGTTTAAATTAAAATCGATGAAATGCGTTTGTGAATTTTCATTAGAAAATAAATTTCAATATCAATTTTGATTTTTCTTAAAATTGAGATGTAATAACTTAAACCGTCTAGCATTGGTGGGAAATAAGCGAACATTTTTCAATGGGGGTTATGCGTGATATGTACCTTACAAGACACGGTAGACAGACATAATTTCTTTTATATGCTGTCGTTTGATCTCCCAACAGATATACCAGGTAGAAAATTAGCAAAATTCACCAATGAACTCATTATTGAAAGTTTATCACACTTGAGTGGGACTGAAATGACCTAAAATCAGTTGATTATTTCACTTGATTAAACGAGGTATGAATCAGGTGACAGGGAAAAAAAGCCAAGTGCCAAATTCTTTTATTACTACACCGTGAAAAAACATACCAGAGGAGAAAGCAACTTGTCTGTATTTTCAGATTAAGCAATCATGTGTAAGACCTGACAACATTGCAAACAATAGAAAAAAAAAGAATGTTTGTCACCAGATTTCTCTAGTCTTTGACATCTTGTGTACTGTTTTAAATGGACAAGTTTTTTTAATTACCAGGAATAAAGAAGTTTGTCTGGAAAATAAAATAGCTGCAGTTATCTCATTTAAGTTTTCAAAGGAAAATGATTTCTAATTTCGACTCATGTTAAATCGACAAAATGTTCAGAAAAAAAATCTAAAGAAGAGTTATTATACTTTAAGGTTTAAAATAAGCATAATTGTATAAATTAAATTCAAGAAACGTTATTATCTTCTTGAAATAAAAGTTTTTAAAAATACTTAGTATATATAAGCATTAAACTTTTTATAATAATGTTTTCGGAGCTTAATAGTCGAAGCCTTTCAAAGTTAAATGGATGTTGGAAGTTTATTGCGTAAAACACTATAAAATTTTAACTGCATGTAGGAAAAAATTATTTAAAATCGTTCACATCAGCTAGGAAGTTGGATCAGAGGAAGAAATTTATCAGATTAACGGATCTCAGATTTTATATTTCTGCGAACTTACGTGTGGTTTTGTGTGATGCTAGTTACTTAAGATAGAAACCGACAGATAAAGCACGCAGATAATTTCATCTTATTCTAATACAACAGATTATGTTAATTAAATATTATCTTAAAGTAATTATCAAAAGATTTCCTTGCTATCTAAAATTACTCTGAATAAGACGAGTAGTCTTTTTTTATATTAGTGAAATGCAGTTTAAAGGGATGTTTCTGAGAAATTAGAACATTAGAATATAAAAAAAAATGATAAAACTGCGGATATTTCCGAAAGAGAGAATTTGCTAGGAGAATTATTTACAAGGGTTGTTCTGTGATTTCTGATAAATCAATTTAATGGTACACGCACTCCAATGAGAAACAGATCAGGGTACTTGAGGGTCAGTGGCAATATAGGCTGGATCAACCCACCGAGATGTTCAATATGTTTTTGAGACTTCCATTGTCTAAGGTCTACATGCATGGTGAGCGATCCTCGAGTAATCAACATCAGGTGCAGATGTATAGTTTTTTCAGTGAGGTCTTCTTTGGAAGTTTAGACTCTTGTCCTGGGGCGAGCTTTCCGTCTAAAACTGGCCCAAATCTCAGTTGTTGAGTTCAACTTTTTAAAACCTCAATCTAGGCAACACGCATTATAGTTTTTGGACTTCTAGAATTTTACATGATTATATATTTTACGAGTGTGGGATGGTCTGATTCTCTCAGTCAATGATATGAATAAAATCCTCAAATACAATCAGATCTTCGCGGTGCTGATCTTTCCCAATTCATATGAAAGTATATTCTTCATTCCATGCAAATTCTAGATAAAGTCCAAGAACTACAACGAGGTTTGTTTTAGGTTATAAAAAGATTTGGATTTAATGGAGAGGAAAACCGAGAGTTGGAGCAGAATGATCCTGGACGGACATATCGCTCGAATCTGTCGGCCCTTGCTGTAACATATAATTATAGGTATAAAATTCATTCTGAAAGCATGGATTAGATAGTGTCCTCCAAAGAATTCATTATGTTCCTTCCTCTGAAAGACAAAAAAAGATACTGAGCATACATTATATTTGTACGGATGTGTTATTTTAAACATCAGTATAGAGTGCACAATCAGCTAAACACACGAAAAGACGCACGTGGTGCGAACTGTCACATCTTTAATTAAAACTTGATTAGAAACTCAAATGATTGTATACTGCTCAATGTAGTTCACTGTAACTGTGCTTAGACAAGGCGAATCAATTAACCTTGTAAAAGAGTTAATGAATACAAACTGAAATCGTAAAAACGTGATTCCATTATCTCATTAGCTGTGTATAGGTGAGTTTGGGAGTTCACCTTCCTATGAGCACACCACAAACTCATAAACAGTGCCAGAAAATCAGGGGAGAGGTTTTTACTAAGCTCAGAGTCTGAAAACAAACATTAGATCAGCAAAGATTGATGATTTGCATGTGGTGCAATGAGTATAAAAACTCAACACCGAGTAACAAAACATTAGGTCAATGAAAACGTAATATTTCTTGTAGCGAAAACAGAAATTCCAAACCAAAAAACACATTATGAACAGAAATGAAAATATACAACGTTTTGTGTAGAATGTGACAATATACATGAAAAGGCATTTCACCAAGTGTACATTGCTTAGTCCGTCAAAACCATTAGCAGAAAGATTTGTTTGGAAAATCACTTGAACATCCGTCTAAGACGGCACAATTTGTCTTCAAAGCACACTCTTCATCACTGGAATTACATTGGACATGTAATGGTTAAAACACATTTCATTAACCTGCAACAGATGTTCTAAGTGCCGTAATTGCAATTTTTGAGAAACCTCTGCCAGGTAAAAACTGCAGGAATTTTACTTTCCGCTCTATTTATCAAAGGTAAATGAGGAAAAAGCTTTGATAAAAAAGAAGCAAACCTATCCTTCTAATGCATACATGTACATTTATATGCAACCAAAAATATCAGTTTTTTATGGTCCCAGTTTTTTTTTTTTTAAATGCAATTTACATATTGATTCGTCAATTCTTAAGATTTTAAAAATTTACTTTCTACATATAATTTTTATATAAAACATTCTTCAACTTTTTTCCAGATATTTCGAAATTGACAATATTTGGTGACAGCAGCGGAAGAAGGCGCGACGGAAGCACTGACGTCATAGATGATACCCGGATTAAAACGTTAGAGCGGCGGTCATTCCGTGGAAACATGCGTCTGAAGGAGATAACCATGTCTGGCAATAATTTGGGCATTCTTTATCCGTACGTCTTCTACCACCTACGAGATCTAAAGATTCTTAATTTGCCAAACAACAATATTCGCCATATGTCGGCGGCTGCTTTTCATGGGCTGTTTAGCTTACATGAGTTGAATCTTTCAGACAATATGATTCGCTTCCTCCCGACTCCACTGTTTCATTACCTCCGTGAATTGCGAAGCGTTAATTTGAACGGCAATAAAATCAGAGCAATACAAAGAAACATCTTCCGAGCTCTTGGAAAGCTTGAGAAACTCGATCTATCACGCAATAATATAACTGATATGTATGATGACACGTTTTTATATAATACAGAATTAACAGAATTGTATCTTAGCGGAAACAGGCTTTGGAAGCTACGACCGGAATGGTTTCAAAAATTAAATAAACTGAAAAGTTTGTCCCTGAGAGGTAACATGATTAAAACTGTAGAACCAGACACATTTATTAATCTGTACAATCTTAAAGAACTATGGTTATCTGCCAATATGCTCCAGAGTATTAAAGATGGAGCATTTAAAAACCTTAGGAAATTAGGCAATTTAGACGTGTCTACAAACGACTTGACGACAGTGCCCACTTCCTGTTTTGAGGATCTGCAATCCCTAACAGAACTCTACCTTGGGAAAAATAAGCTATCAATTATTCAAAACGGAACCTTTAACTTTGGAGGGAATTTACAACAACTCGATCTCTCCGGAAACTTAATAGAAACAATAGAGCGGGAGGCCCTGTACCCAATAAACAAAGTTCATACAGTTGATTTTTCAAGGAATAAGATTCGAATCGTTACGAAAGACTTCATAAAGGGACTTAATAACTTACAAGACCTAAACTTAGCAAATAATTTCATTCAGGATATTGAGGAAGATGCATTCAGTGGTGCAACGAAATTAACTCAATTAAATCTACATGGTAACAAATTGAAGAACATCACTCAGAAAACATTTGAAAATCTGACAACATTAAAGTCACTTGATTTAGGAGAGAATACTATCAGTGATATTCATTCAGGTGGCCTAACTGCACTAAGAAACTTGCGGTCATTAGACATCAGAGACAACAAACTCACTAAATTAGAAGGAAATTTGTTTTTGTCCCTGTATAAACTACTAGAATTAGATCTTTCAAATAATAGAATCAAGGAGTTATTTAATCAGAGCTTTTTGGGTCTACATAACTTAGAAGATCTCGATCTGGAAGCCAACAACATACATACCATCGCGCCCGAAACCTTTAGATCCCTGCGAAGGGTAGTAACTCTTGATCTCAAAGGAAACAAACTCATCAATTTCAATTTCTCTGTCATTTCCGAACTGCCCTATCTATCGATGGTGGATCTTAGCGAGAATAATTTATTTAATGTAGAAATTGGAGACGAAGTTAAACTGAGGCTTACCGAACTGAGTTTATCAAAAAATAACCTTAAAGAACTCTCTGAGAAAGTCAAGAGGATACTGTCCTCTTCATCCTTATTGATGTTAGATGGGAACCCATGGACATGTAACTGTAAAGTAAAATGGTTGAAGGACCCTATGCTGCCCCGGCAAATCCGAGTCCATTCCTCCAAAGATGTAATCTGCAAAGCGCCAACAAGACTGCACGGCAGAAAGGTATGCGTCGATTCACAAATTTCTAGTGTAACTAATGACATTCCGATGACGATATGTAAACTCGAGTAGTATGCACATATTGCATTTCTGTTAATCACATATTCATTGGCTCGTGTGGCAGAAACATGAAAACAAATATCCAGAGACAAAACAAGGTTCCATGCTTGTTTTACTCTGTATCTTGATGTTTGATGCACGCATGCTCTAATCTTCATTATCAGATTATTAGTACTTTCATAACAGTAATACTTTAGCGAATTCTTGTTGTCTTTGCAGTTATTTGATCTCTTTGACAAGGAACTAGCATGTCAAACGACCAAGGACAGAAACTCAACCGCCGTACAGATATGTGAAGGATCAAACTTTGTTAAAAAGCGCTGGTACTCACCCAGGTAAACCCTACCAAGACAAATTCCACTCAACTATATTTCTTTTTAATGACTTATTCCATTAAATATAGTCATTAATATTATTAACTAACTAATGAACTATTTCCTCATTAATAGTTTTAAGCGTCCATGAATGACTGAAAAAACATGTAAATTTTGTCTACAAAACAAAAACATACTTTGGTTTATATCTGATACAATATTCCTTGAAAGCTTAAACTGTTTATGATTCATTTTTGTGAACAGCTTTACAAGTAGAAAGATTAAATAACCGACAGTAGAAAGATGGTTAATTAAAACAAAAGTGATAAAATATGAAATTCACGTTATACACACTGTACATGTACACATAATATGCAATAAGAGCAAAATATTTTCCCCAAATAAGAAAGTATTTGTAAAACATTTTCTTAGTAAATTATGGAAATTAATGTTGTGTCGTTTTCTTTTCTTAATTTTCCAGATCTGTTCGAAAGGCTTTGTTGTCACGGCATGCAACTATAATGGATGAAAAGAACGCCCCGATTGTAAACGGTATCGTGGTGTCCGAGGACTGGATTCTTACACTGGGAAGCAGTGCCAACGTGATCCTGCAATCAACGAATCCCGATAGTTTCCGAGTGAAAATCGGAAGAACCAAGGGATACCGAAACATAGTTCGTGTATTCAGACACCCTTTAATTCGGTATGGAACTGAATATAATGTGGCTCTGTTAAGGTTAAAATACAACAAGAAAAACCCGGACCAGTCGTGTATAATAACCGAGAAACAATACAAAGTACTAACAAGTATCTTCAAGCACATATCGATAACAACAAGAGTAAAAGGGAAAACAAAGCTAACTAAACTAAAGCCTCGAAGAGGACGCATCTCTAAATCTTGCTCTGAGAAGAATTTAATATGTGCAACAATTAAAAAACCTAAAAGGCCGTTTATGTTAGTTGACGGTTCCCCCATGTATCTAGGACATAATGGAGATTACAGATTGGCAGGGATTGGAGTGAATCTTCCTGCAAAGAAAGATAATAAGTATGATTTCATTCCGTTATGGTCCATTTCGGACTGGATTCAGAGTGTGATTGACGAATACAATGCCAAGTGTCGCCTGGACGCTAAAGGAACAGACGTTTGCTCAGATCTCTCTTTGCCAACCTTCAAAGACATGGCGGACAGAATTCGCAGGCCTGAGCAACACTAATTACGGATTGTGAAATCTTGCAGTGCTGGAATAATGCACTATAATGTGACAATTTGTGTAATGGAGGGTAATCAAGGCCCGGGGATCGCCCCACAGAGAACGATATAATCGATGGAGCACAAAAAAAGTTTCAAAGTAATATGCAATATTACTCAGCCCACTCCATTACCTAGATTAAAAATCGCTGTCATTTATACGGGGCAATCATTGCATAACTCCGATCTTCAATGGAACCTCGTGTAAGTTATTGAGCCATTAGTGATGAGAACCTGTATTTTATTATAATTAATTAATTCAAGTTTTGTTGCTATCATTGTAAATATCAATACACATTGGAGTAGTTTGTCTGGGTGCGCGTGCCTGAATTTCCCGTTACCGACGCTCTGTACATGCTTGTACTATATTGTTTGATGTTTCACTTTATGTACTTAGTAGAAAAGGAGGGGGATCGGTTTAAACTTCTTGACAGCGTTTCCTCCCGTCCCTTCGCTTCATTAAACTGTAGTCCACATAGCGGATGTTACGAGACACGATCCGTAATTGTGACTCCTCTATTTTAATTAAAACTCGGTTTTTAATATACGACTTTGACTATATATATCATATTTTGTGGTTTTGTCAGAGAATTGTTGTAAAGTGACTAAATTTTCGTTACATTTTTAACTGTTTTCAATGGATTAAAATTGTAAAAAGTTTGTATATTCATGTTTATTGTAGAAGTTAACTTGATTGCATTGAGAGGTTTACTTTGTTGCCATTATAATACCGTATATATTTATACACAAAGGTACATTAGTGATTCTTGATACCTCTGCAACCTCCCCCAAATGTTTGTTACTTCTCGTCACAGACCCCCGGAGTAAAACAGACATGACATCCCTTGCACTCAGAAACACCTAATGAAGTATTCTAAAACTAGAAGTGTTGTCAATGGAAGATCATATGGTACCTAAGATATGGAGTTGCAAACGTTTTCAAATCAATCCATAGGTACAATAAAACCTTTGAGAGCCTTGGATCAAGTACATTACAACCACCTAAAGGAAAGAAAAAAATACTTCATATTAGGAGAAATTATGTGACAAGGATGGAATTTATCTCATTTGATAGAGGCAACTCTGATTTTATTATCTTCAGTTAGCCTTCACCATTCCCCGTTTTAATAAACAGTTTTCAAAATAACAAAGAACCAGACTCAATCAGTGAAAAAGGGAAAAGGGAATGAAAAAAAAAAATGCATAGATCATTTAGCCCTGGGATGTATATTATAACATGAAATTGCAATTGATATAATAGTATTATTTTATCATTTGACCAGTCTTTTTGTATGATGCATTATTTAAGTTAGACAACTCACAGAAAAAAAAAAACCCTGTACTTAGGTAATAAAATGTCAGGAATTGTCATTTACGTACTCTTCTGCTTGGATTTGTGATGGATTGCTTGTTCATCATGTAGAGTATGCATCACTTCGAATCTTTGTTGTTAGATCTGACATCTTGGTTTGTTGTTTTAAGTCATTAATTCGCATTATTTTGCCATCAAACTGAAAGAAATACAGACTATTGAGAAAAGCTGAAAATGCACATGTTCATGTAGAAAGGATCTGGAAAAAAGAATTCTGATGGCCTAAATGCCATGTAAATGTATCATGTCAACGCGTATATTCAAAACAAAGTGAGGATATCTACATCACTGTAGCAAACGATGGTTCCTCTATAATAGTTAAGTAGAATAAATGTCCCTCCCCCTTTCAGAAGCCCAGGTTTTTATTTTATTTTATTTATTTATTTATTTATTTTTTTTTTTTTTTTTTGTATTCTGTGTACCACGTTAACGCTTTTTCACTAGAATTCTAACAAATATGATCAAGTAGCAGTATTTATTAAAAAAATCAACCTTTGGTTAAAAAAAGATTCTGGCAAGACTTTATTAATAGTATTTCAACCTGTAAAATTTGGAGAAAGTATTCACAAAGGCAATCCTTGACAGTTTTGATACAGTAATAAGTTTCGATTATTTGTCTTTTTTTTTTTTACATTATATAATGCTTTTCTGTTTGAAAAAAATAAGATGAATTTACCTGTCATAATTTGAAAGTGAAAAAACGGAGGGAAATGAGTAATCAGTTATAATTGTGAGCAACCAGTTCTGCATGTGTGTAGGGATACATATATACAGATATTGCTAAAATTAAATTATGACATTCTACACCCACGCCTAGTGCCACAATTAGGAGCATCCCGTCAAAAACAAAAGTTTGACACATGGAGTTAATGATCATCATGGATGTCAAGGGTGGTCTTTGTAAAATTTGCCACAGATTTGCTACTGCTCTACTGATATATCTCGTAAATCAAACTCCATAATCCGAGAACAACAGAGAGATAAGTGAATTTCAAACGTGTTTTGTTTAATTGAGTTTTTGATATCACATTAATTCTGATGAGAATCGCTCGGTGCAACAATTCAGCGTAAAGAACAGGTAAATGAAAATTTAACAAACAATCGATCTAAAAAAAAAAAAGGTCAAACAATACAAAGCATCCCCTTCGACCGGTGTCGCATAATATTTGGTCCGCCTCGTTTAAAGGTCCGGGGGGACCTAATACGATAACATATAAGGTCCGGCCTGCCTCTATAATAAAAGGTCCGCCTTCGGTTTAATATGCAGATTTTTCTCCTTTATTGATTCGAAATTAATTTGCTTAATTAATCTTTTTTAATTATTTAAGGTATAGTTGTTATAAAAGTGTCCCTCCCAGCAAAATGGAGTTCCAGGGACGTACATGTATGTACATTGTATATATACTAACAGAATCAAGTCTTGCGATATCTCGCTAGTTGCTGGATTTCGTAAGTCAATTTTAATTAATTATATTTCTAATACTATGATATATTTCAGTACAAAACCTCAAATTATCTATCAAAAAATTATTCAAAATTTGATGTTAGCACTGATTAACTGTTAGCTCCTCATCGTAGTACATACATGTACCTCCCAGGTACTGCACAAAACAAAAATTATAAAGATGCAAAGATCTGTTGATCGAGTTACCTTATGGGAAAATCATGTACAACTTGTGTCTTTTATAGTTTAAGTGATATCAATATTATCATTGCAAAATAAAAAAAAAAAATACATATATATAATACGTATACCTTCACTGGCACATTGTTCAGTATATAGTGTTCGTAAGTCCAATTAACAATGATCATTTCATTACAGTCTCTTTCCTAAAATCGTTCGACTTCCACTTCCAAAAAAGGATTTTCATATCTTTCGAAAGATATTTCATTATATTATTAATAATAATTATGCATAATTCTTACGATTCATATTGTACCTAACTATAAAATAATTGGAGGGTCACTGTGACAGGGACTTGTGTTAAGGGGTACTAGCCTATCCCGTTGTTGTTAAAACAACATGTCTGTGCATTGGGGGTAGGCCTATTGTCTCACTTGACGAAACTTGAAGCCGCATATCCCCCATGTTTTTATAACCACCGTTTCTTATCCAGTTAAAGACTAACGATTATTTCATTCTGCTTGACATTACCCCGGGATTAACACTGGTTAAGGAAGATGTGCATTAATTGGCAAGATCAAACCAAAGTCAATCGAGTTGAACATTTTAAGCAATAAAATACCCCCCCCCCCCCCAAAAAAAAAAAAAAAAGAAAAGATTATAAATGGTCTTGTTGTATTTTTGGTGGGTGGGGTATAGCAAAATTATGCTGATACATGTCAAATAGTTTAAAAAGTACTGATATTGTAGACTTTCCTCCCGCATTAATATTTTTCCCGGAAAAACGAGCTTGGGTTTAAAGACCCCCCCCCCCTTTTGGAAAATGAGCCTAGCATAGGATTTATTTCCGGATTTTTTTTTAAATATTGTTCATTTCATTCCCTACGTTTTGTAGTTTTCATTTCTGACATTTTAAAATTTTCATCTCTGACATTTATCACCATAAAGTACTTTTCCGGCAATGAAAACAGAATTGAAATTTCCCTTATAAAAAAAATTAAAGAATAAATCAAGAATAATTCATTGATTTCCAAATAATAAGTTCTGCTTATATTCAAAAGAAGCTTATGATGATTTTATCCTCGGACACATGTAAGTCTTGTGAATTTTTTTTCATCTTTTCAAATCAACATAATCAGATTGAATTGGTTAAGATAGAATTTATGACATAGAGAAACTATGTTTGAGGGAAAGAAGTAATAAAAGTTGAGGGGATTCTGTTTTTCGGTGCTTTCAAACACATATAATTTAGTGGGCATTAAAATTTGGTGATCAAAAATTGCATGTTTTATTATTGAAATTATTGCATTTTATTACTAGACTTTGTATTTTTACTAGATTTAGTGTTGATTGTATTGTAAAATGAAAACAAAAAATGATGGAAATGCAATGCATAATTTCGGAAAATTTTTTAATGACATGCAGCGAGCTTGGAAGAAACAACCCTGGCTTTATTATCCACCATAGGAAATACTCAGTACGCTTCAGTATAGAATTTTCTCCTTTTCCACCTTCTTACTAGGGAGAATCGTATCCACCAATACTATTTACAGAGGGGTTTTACAGAGCAACTTGACATGTATTTCCCCATAAAGTAAAAAAGGAAAGTGTCTGTTGAGATCGTGGCCGATATAAAAATTCATAAAACACCACCAAGTCGTGTTCTTTTGTTAATATTTTTATATTTATTTTGATTTTGGTTTAAATTAGATTTTCTACGACTTTTAGCGGCTATTTCTTCTTTATTTTATTTATGTGTGTGTGATGGGGGGAGGGGGGGGGGGGTGTTGTAGTTCTCTTGTTGCACGTCATCAACATTACTAATTAAATAATAATATATATCCTTGGTCCCTTCAGACAGATGTTTATGGATGCATATAGATATACAATACAGTAGACACATGTCATCTCCTGCAAATGTACATAGATGGATAATTAATTTACATTAAAGTTTTGTCTTTTTGTCAGCATAAATGAAAAAAAAGTACACTACTACATGTAGTATATGCAATGCTTATGCACAATTAGGCCATTCCAAGAGTTTTCTAAGTAAATTTAGCGTCCATCCTAAAATTAAAACCCTAATTATCTTTTTACCCTGGAAAAACACACGAACCAGCAAAAAAAGGAACTTACAGCATTTCCATAATTTTTGCTTTGTAACAGTGAGATACATGTATCTGGGAAAAAAGGAAAACAGAGGGCGGACCTTTTATTATACTGCGTTTTAAGGTCCTCCCTGCCATTTTAACGAGTTTTTACGCGACGAAAACTTTTAATAAACCCTATTCAAAATATTCGCCTTGTAATAGTAATAGTTCGCCTTGTAATAGTCTGAAATGCAGAGGGCGGACCTTTTATAATACTGCGTTTTAAGGTCCGCCCTGTCTCTTTCTCTAGTTTGTATGCTACGAAAATAAACCCTGTTCAAAATTTTCGCCTTGTAATAGTAAGATATCTAAAATACAGAGGGCGGACCTTTTATAATACTGCATTTTAAGGTCCGCCCTGTCTCTTTCTCTAGTTTGTATGCTACGAAAATAACCCCTGCTCAAAATTTTCGCCTTGTAATAGTAAGAAATCTGAAGTATAGAGGGCGGACTTTTATTATACTGTGTTTTAAGGTCCGCCCTGCCTCTTTCTCTAAATTTTATGCTACGAAAATA